CAGCAGCAGCAGCAGCAGCAGTGACAGCAGCAGCAGCAGTGAGGACACTGACAGTCATTTACTGTCACTGGCTTTAATCCATTATTCAGGTATTGGTTGGTTTCATCAGCCAATCACAGCTTGGCGCCGCTTTGCATCATGTTGCATTTTTTAAAAGGGTAAAATAGACAACTTTTACAGACACCTCCACATCAAAGAGGCATCAAAGAGGTAAAAACAACACACAAACACACCCCCACACAGACACACACACACAGACACACACAGTGAAGCCTGAAAGTGACAGATGATGCAGCGCTGCAGCCTTTAGGTGATGTTTTGGAAACGCTAATGAAAAGCCTTATCACACTCTACCCACACACACACACCTACACACACCCAGTGTACACACACACACACACACACATTTGACAAATACACATGCAATGACACACACCTGAATATAAAATCCCAGCTGCTAAAACCCAGACGTCCAGAACACACCATCAATCACCAACGTAAGTAAAAGCCACGAGTGTGTGTGTGTGTGTGTGTGTGTCTGCAATGTTTGTATATGTGTGTGTGTGTGTGTCTCTGTGTGAGTGTGTAGTATTGACTGGGATGCAGTCTCCTACAACCGTGCTGTGTGTCAGGCCGAGTGACTCATCCTCCTTTGTGGAAGTTCTCTTTAAACACACACACACACACACACACACACACACACACACACACAACAATCCACGTGCGTGTGCGTGTGTGTGTGTGTGTGTGTGTGTGTGTGTGTATAGACTTCATGTAGCTCCATTCTCACCCATCATTCAGCCCCATTCGCACATGGTCAACACCACAGGGGATGGAGAAGAGGGGGAGGAAGATGAAGGAAGATGAAGGAGGATGAAGAAGGATGAAGAAGGCAGAGGAAATTTTTTTTTACTGCATTTAAGGGATTGAATGGTTAAAACTACGCGGGGCCAATTAAAGAAAAAGGAGAAGATGGAGGCTGCTGATGAACAAATAAATGACTTCACCTAATTGCTCATTTGCATATGAAGAGGTTCTTTCCAGGATCCACACTTGGAAAATCATTATGACATTGATTCATCAACAGCTCAGTGCACTCAGAGAAAGTAACTGCCCTCAGACCCCGGATCCACCAACAGCAGCAGCAGCAGCA